GACACTTGGGCTGCTTCCAAATCTAGGCTATTATAAATAACACTGCAATGAACATAGGGGCACTTACATTCTTTTGAATTAGTATTTCAGGTTTTTTCAGATAAATTTCCAGTATTGGGAATTTTTTCACTTACCATTTGCCTACATTTTTAATTTTCCATTTTAATGGCTACATGATATTAGATGAATCAAAATTTATTTATTCTCTGATTGTTGCATAGGAATAAATATAAATTGGATGATTATATTTTTATTGTTGTTAAAAATTCTATGGTAAATATTTTAAAATCTTTGTCTAGATATCTTATTGGGCTAAATCCTGACATGAAATTACTGAGGCAAGGAATGTAAGCTTTAAAAAAATATTACTATGTACACTGCTTACTATGTAGTTTTTGCCAATTTATACTTCCACTAGCAATACATGGAAGTCTTTTCTTGCCATGGAAGCTCACTAATTAGGTAATGTGATTAAAATAAGGTTGTATAAAACAGCATGCCTTAAAAGGGGGAAGTTTTATTTCTTTCAAACCATATTTTTTAATTAGATAAAATGTCATATCAAGATCATAATATAATGATGTCAAATTTTAATATTTATAAATGCATTTCTAATGTTACAAACATTTTTATATTGGTAAACATGCCCATAGTAATCTCGTTTACAGTTAATTTGTCTAATTGATTATTTAATGTACTAGGAGGATAAACTATAACCTAGTCAGTCAATATCTAAATAATCATAATTTGAAATTAACTTACTTTAACTCCTGGCTATGCTTGAAAGCCAGGAGTTAAATTCTGTCTGTTCTGCATAATCCTTAATTTCTTGAAATATTAAGAAATTTTACTCATAATCTCCTGTGTCACACAAAATGAATGGTTTAACAATTATTTCATTGCCTCCAAGGAATGTTGTATTGCCAAGACAAAAGAATGTTATCCATTTATAGTTCATTTTCAAATGAATGCAGTTCTCAGATACTAGTTGAATTCAAGTTTATAGTGACTATATATCATTATTATTGCTGTTTATGATCTAATGACTTATAAAACATATTAAATTCGTATTGGTTGTATTGCTTGTCTAATTGAAAAACATAGTATTGTGTTGTCTAAAGCCTCACAACAACAGTATACTCTGATTTTGCCTATCATTTAGATGTATGATTTTATGTCAAGAAAATTTAGAAAAAGTATTGATTTAAAAATTTAAAAAATTAACTTCATATTATTTCTTCACATTAATGATTCTAATTTATAGTATAATATCATATGTGATATTATTCCATACATACTTATGCCACTGGAGTTCAAATTTTAAAATTTATTTTGTAAAACGTAAAAGCATAATATTACTCATTTGTTTTAAAACTCTTCCTAGCAGAAATCTTGTGTTCGTCTATTTTAATATGTTACAATTTTAGTGGTTTATTCAAAAGACTATATAGTCCTTTTACCTAATACCAGTATTAACATCTATTTGGAGAATGAGGTATTAAAATTATAAATGTAGGTTTGTGTATATTTCTTTATATTTAGGTAAAAATGAATACTTTTTATTAAGCCATTTAATTAACTTCTTAAAATTTTTTCAGCACTCATACTATTCATCATTAAAGTAAAATATTCTCAGAAAAATGAACACTAGCAACTACTACTACTTTTTATTCTGTACTATTCTTTAATAAATTGTATGTTCTGGCTATTTTATATTGCTTTACTTGTTACCCAGATGACATACCTTTATTGTGTAGGCATTGCAAGCATGAGGATATGAAGTCTTGTAACCCTTGTCATATCCCATTTCTTGCAAATAAAATTGCCCTGCATTGTTCTGGCATAGACTGTTCGCCATATCAGTGGTAGCCCTAACATTCTTGACCTTGAACATAATGAGCATTATGTCAGTGGGTTTTATAAGATAGTATTGCGCAATATTTGAAGGGCCACAGACACCTAATCACAGTCACTTAGAACCAGCGTGTATTGCCTTGATTTTAGCATATCCCAGGAAATTGATGTGAACAGCTAGCATGAAATAATCCCCTGGGAGTGAGAAGCCTGGTAGAATACCGAATAAAATTTTCCTTCTAGCCAATAGTTTCTTTTTTTCTTGATTATATCCTTATGACTTTTCTCCTTATTGCTACTCTCTTCTGTTTCTCCATATTCTCTCCTTTTCCACCATTGTACTCTTCTCCTTTGTAATCCTATTTTTCACTCTCAAATTCATGCTCATTCTATATTTGCATTTTTGAGGCCTGGCTTCTCCCCCAGTGGAGGTCTAGTCATTTAGTATTCATTCATTTATACATTCATCATTCATTCATTCATTTGTTTCTAAGTGATTTATTACAATTCTGCTCCATGTTAGGCACTGTGCAGTAACACTTAGAGGGGAGATGGATAATAAGCACCTATTTTTTCACTGAGAGTACATTACATGCCAGACTAAGTGCTTTATCTATACTAACATTTAATCTTTATAACAATCCTGAGAATAGGTACAATTTTTAATCATCATTTTACTGATGAAGAAACTGAAGCACACAGTCATTAAATGTTGCCCATGGTCACAGAGTGTCAGAGAGGAATGTTGTATTTGGCTGCAAGGGACATGCAATGGGGCTCTTGGGGTAAAGGAGCCCCACAACTGGAGACTTAGGCAATGCCTAACAGAACTCCTCCAAGTTACCAACTTTTTAATTTGTGTAAAATGAAAGTACATCAGAAGTTATCAGCTCTTGATCAAAGCGAAAGCGTTAAGTTCATGATTAGGAAGGAAGAAGACATTTGATTGTTTTTGGTAGTAAGTTTGTACTAAAACACAGGTGTATACTGCGTTTCACAGGAGTTTTTCGGTACTTGAATCAGTAGACATTTGGCAGCTGATAACCAATACTTAATCTTCAGCTTTGGAAGAATTGAAGTAAGGACCTCAGAGTCAAAATCGATAGGGTTTTCTTCATTTGAGTTTCGGTGTCTTTAATTAAACCACACCAAAGGAAACAGAAAAGAATTTAGGTCTGGAATAATTTAGGTGTTGAAGTAGTTTTGAAAATTCAGGTGAACTATGAATCTTACTTTTTAAACTATCCAATTACTTAAAGTAAATGAATCAGAGTCACCAAGATTAATCTGGTGACAGAAGTGGTCATAAAAGGAATCTTACATCTATACCTCGTTAATTAGTGATGAAACTCAAGTAAAAGTAGAAATTCTTGAGAACTTCTTTGCTTAAAATTTTCAAAAGAGAGAAAATTACTTTTTTGGTTCATAAATACACAAGAAAAATATGTCATTAATTCATATTGTTGCTGCTATAATTTCTCATATATTTGTTTCTGGAAAATTGCCAGAAAGTAATATTTTTTAATTTTTATCACTGTTGTAATTTCATAGTCATTTTCCATTACTTCTTGCATATCTAGTTACACTGTTGTGACTTAGAAACACTGCTTTATTGCTTTGATCAAATATTTATTAACTATGACATGTTTCTGCTTCCCTCCCTTGAAAAATAAAGTTTAGAAAAGGATATGTCATGAAAATATCTTTAACTTTTTTTTGTCATTTAGTGTCAAATAGCTAATCTGCAGAAGAGTGTATTTTCACTTAGTATTCATTCTACAGATCTTATTCGAAGATTCTAGATTACACAAAAATACAGTATGAGAACATGGGCTATGGCCATTGCATTTACCAACAAATATTGACCTCACTCTAAGGTGCTCTTCTCTATACTTTTCTCCCAGTTCCTTTTGCACAGATATTATTTGTAGAAAGTAGGCACAAATTAAGTAATAAAGTTGACAATTATAGTAACAATGTTGCTTCCAAAATTATTTAGAGGACAGATAATTTGATGAATGTTTGCCTTTTAGTCACAAAGCTAATGAAAACTATTTGCTTTTATGCTTTTCTGTTCATTCGTTTCTAAAATTTCCAAATTTATTGACTAGTCATTTCTGAAAGGAAAATGGACTAAAATCCTGTTTTTATGTTTCAGATTTTCTTCTCTAACAATGTTTGTTGTTTCTTTTGAAAATTACCATGTATTTAAGAGAACATATTGCTCACATTTAGAGGGAAATAAAGAGAAGTGCTAGTATCTGAAATTAGAAAGCAGGTATTATGAGAAAAATGAAAAATCTCAATAGTGTAATAATACTGACCTTAAGTACAAAGCAGCATGCTAGCTTTTTACCTGTTGAGGACTCTGGACATGATGTATGAAGCACAGTGTATTTTAGCAGTGTCATATCAAGCAGAGGGAAGGGTGGGGGGACCCTTTATCACTAATTGAAATCTTAGTTTACAAATAAATTTTAGGTTATTTATAACTACATATGAAACAATGTGTCTCCACAGCCTTCACTGAATTGCTAAGGAATGGGAATGGTCAAGTCTCTTTGGAAATGGGCAATGCAAACAAGTATTCCCCCCCTTTAAGAGAGAACACAGAATGTGGTGTGCATTGTGAGGACTGGTCAACAACAAGGGATAGGATCCCTAATAAGTCCGTGGCAAAAACCTTTTTATAAAGGAGAATCCCAAAGAGATGGCATCTCTTACTTTAAATGCCCTCTTCATGTATACATTTTTAGATATACAACTTTGTATCAGCTTTAGAAGCATCAGATTGCTGGAAGGAATACTTTCATTTTAATTCATTATAGAAAGAAAGATACAAAGTTATGGCTTTCATATTTTTATTATAGGATAGTAACACTATACTTTACATAGCAATAAAATATTTCTCTTTTCCATAGAATTTTTTCAATTTTACCATATCATTGTGTAGATGAAGTCACTATGGAAAATACCACGATGAGCCATCTTGCTTTTTGAGGAAAAAAAAATTATGACTTCATGTTTCATCTTAACATTGACCTTACCTTGGATGATTGTTTATTATATTATGGTAGGAAAAATAGTTGTTCTTATGCTTTTTTAAAATTACTTTAATAATCAGTAAGGATTTGTTTCTTTTCTAGGGCCGGTGCATAAACTTCTCCCGAGTTCCATCTCAGTAAAAGAAAGGAAGAAGACCAAGAAGGTATGAAGGTGGTACCTATCCACACTGCTGATTTCCAACAAAATGAGAAACAAAAGTGCATTTTAGAAGTTTTTGGAAGAGCAGCTTCATTCTCTCAGTCTGGAAATGTTTTCTCTGCCCTCTGCTTTGCTTACACCAGACATTTTTCAAAGAGTTGTTTTGCCATCTACACAGGAGTTGATGAAACAGTGGTTGCTCATGATCACAGCATTGAAAATAAAGAGGAACATTGATCTACATGCTATGGCTAATAGAAGAAAGTTTGCATGTATATGTAGAAAAGGGAAAAGAATGAAAGACAACAGCATGAAGATATCAAAATGGGAACCATGTATAACCACTGGGTCTTTAATGAAGAAAGGAATGTTTAACATGGAAACTTGGCACTTGTGTTTTTACAAGGCAAGATTGTGTATCCACAGGCAGAGTTTGAAGTTTCCCACCAGGACAATCAAATAAAGGAGTCCGTTGCCTTACAGCTCTGTCAGATTACAAAACCCTTCCAAGTGCTCCCACAACGTGCCTTACGGGAAGCTTCTGCCTGGAAAACCTTGTCATTCTAACACTGAGAAGTGCACACGCATGACAAAATATAGACAGGATGCCTCAAGGTATTGGTCGCAAGCAAGATTTTGCCTTTTAGTTTTTGAAGACACCTTTATTTCATTATGTACTTGGGAAAAGAAGAAAATTAATGGAGTGTTATTCCACAGGAAGACACCCTCTAACCAGAGATCTTCAGTGGAGTGTGAGAGACTCATGATTTGAGAATTTGTCCCTGTGATTGGTAGATTTACCCCTTTTTCTGTGTTTAGGTTTTAGTAGTGCATAAAGCGTTAATGTCTATAAACACACCTAAGAGTTTTGTTTGCTTTTAATTTAAAGGAAGCACTAACCACAAAGCTTCCGCTCAGGGTTTTTCTTTCTCCAAGTCTCCAAGGGCTCTTCAGCATCACAAGCTAGCAACTCTCTTTGCATGAAAATTTCAAAGTTTAATTAATATAATTAAAGGCAACAGCAAGCAGCAGCCTGTGAAGATTTTGCTCATCTTTTTTATGCCTTTTGACATTGAATGACCTATTACTGTATGCGCATTACTTGGATTTTGAGGGAGCACTTTATACCTTGGATATGATTCAGTAGAGAAGAAAAGACCTCCACTCATCAATTTAAAAATTAAATTTTCAGGAGGATCAGCCACTACAAAACATCGAAAATGTATGTTTTCTAATTTTTTAGAAAAACCACCATCGTGTCATGTCCATGGTGCCAAATTATGTTAGCGTGAGCGGAAACACTGTGGGGAGGGAGAAGGCAGCAGCTGAAGAGAAAAGCTCAAATGATCTAGTCACTTTCGATACTGTATTTCAGATGGGAAATGGATATTTGACTCGAAACCTGACAAAGTGTGCCTGCTTTGATGTGAACTGGTATAGACAATGACCAGTGGCTGGGTCAGTGGGATGTCTCTCTGCGAGCACAAAGGCTTATCAAATGACACTAAAAATAAGTTCAACCACCATCACTTTGGAAGGGAGAAGGCGAACATTTCATGTTTGGTGGGCATAGGAGTGCACAAGATGGAAAAGAGCGATTTGGAGCGACCCAGTATAATTATCCCCGTTGTGCTCGTAATGGAAATTTCAAAGGACGGGAGTGATTCTGTTGGTTGGTGTCCAGATCTGTGGCACTGTTCCAGGAAGCCTTACTCTCTCACACACACACACACACACACACATACACACACACACACACTATATATATATATATATTTACACACATGTATATCTACTTGCTTAAATCTTTGGCTCAAGTTTATTTATGTCACTGGCTGGCTGGATCCAAAGTCATGAGTCTACATATTCATAAATAAAATTTTTACTTGTGCCTCTGCTACCATTTTCTTTAAGCCTACATAAACTCAAACCTTATTTGTTGAGTATATCATTATCCTGGTTAGTTTCTGGGACACAATTATATTGAGTTCCAAAATGTCCATTACATTCATCAGTGATGCAATTGGCAATAATTATCCATGTGGCAAGTGTGAATTGGAAGCCAAATACACACCCAATGAGTTCCTGTAGACCTTTGTTTTACATTTGCATCTGGGTCAGGCCTATCCTAATTTTCTGAAATTGGCACTTCATTTCTGATCACTGTACATCCCTAAATGGCATTTATGAGCATTGGGGATGCTTAGAAGCTAAGACTATTTCTTTGATAGTTACTTTGAATTTCTCTACTATCATATGTCATTTGTATGACACTTACATTTTGCTATGTGAGCAATGTAAGTAGACTTCTGCCTCTAAATGACAAACTAGCTTTCCGTGGACTATTATTCATATGAATTTCTAGTTCTAATACCACTGGGAAGAGGTGAAGAGCTCTCAGTGAAAACAGAGGCAATGGTCTGTATGTAGTCTAAAAAAGTACCATTCGTAACGTTCAAAGACAGATGGACATTCATTGCACTGAAAAATGAGAATCAGGTCTCTGTTTTGATTTTCTCTGATTAGGCTAACTAGCAAGTGAGAGGACTTTGCTTTAAAGAATACTCTTCTCTCACTAAATTGAAAACCTCTACTTTCAACCAGGAGAATAAAGCCATTTCTGTAGTTTCAATAATGTTTTATATTTTATACAGAAATAATTCCTGCTTAATTTTTTGGACATAATATCAGTCAAAATTTCTGTGAATAAAAGAGTAAGTCTTCATCCATAATCCATTTGTGTTGCATAAGGTTGCAAAAACAATTAAGTGGGAAATGACTTCTAACTTATGTGTCTACTCTGCCTGGAAAGAAAGTTTTGAAGGCATCTATATATATTTCATAACAATGTCTGTTCTTTATGGATTTGATCCATAAATATTTATCTATCTGAAAACTTTGATACTTGGAATGTTTTCCTTAAAGCATTTGGTGCTCCAAGAAAAAACATTTGGTGCTAAGAGTTGCAGCACTGATGCCTTTCCCCAACTTAATTCTATTTTAAAATTTGATATTTCTTTCCCAATGAGATGCAGAGTAAAATTTGAGACCCTCCATTAAGTAGGGAGCAGCATCTGTCACTGCGGATAATTACTATTTTGACAAAAATATATAAGGTTTAAACCTCCTATACTTCAAATCATTAGAGAAAAAATGATTTGCTTATATTTCCCTTGAACTTGATTCTAATCACTTTAAATCATAAATTATGCAATATTTGTTTTTCAAATAAATCTTTCCTGAGTATAAGATCTCGTGTCTTGCTGAATTTAATAACTTTATCTAAATATCAGTGACCATTATTTACTGCTCAGAGGCAATTTATTTAGTTTATTTAAAAAACTCAAACAATATTATGCCCAACAAAGTGCCTAAAATATTTTTGATTGATCATCTTATATATATTATTTAATTTTAAAAGGGCAAAATAGAATTAGATCACTTTAACAAGTATTGTAAAGCAAGTGTTTTTTCATCATAAAGCATGTGGTTAACTGCTACTACATTTTGTACAGCATCACTTTATGGTAGGAAATTTATTAGTGTTTAACTGCTACTGGACATTTTCTGGCAGATATATATGCACAGGAAGAAATGCATACATTCTTTATTTTAATATGAATGGAAATCCATAATCTAGAATCATAGAACAATTCTGGTACATTTGTTGTATATTTAAGGAAAGAAACTTGCAGGTCGGGCTGGAGAGTATTGTCAGTTTGCAGGTGATGAAGTGAACATAGTCATATATTGTAGCCTCAGAGTTAGATTAATATGTTACTTGGCATATTTCTGAGAACAGCTTAATTTGAATATATCTCTATACCTACTAGGATCTAATTTAGTGAATTTGATAAAAGGAACAAAAAATTCTTTTCTCTCGTAATGTTGCAATCCTGGTGGGGTTTTTTTTTCTCTTCTACCGGAAGAAAATGCTCATAAGAAAGTACACAACATAACATTCAAATTTATATTAAAAGGCGCTTGTTCAGATTGCTTCGCAAGGACTATATTAAGGTAAAGTGAGCGTGTGTGTGCATGTGCATGTGTGAAAGAATCTGATGACAGAGGGCCTAACCCTCGCCACAACTAGCCGACAAAGATGGAAAAAACCAGCTTCCAACCAGAGGCTGGAGATGAAGACATCTAATTCATTCCAGCTCTGGTGGCATACCAGTGAAAACAGTCATATTAGAGGTTTTTGCATTTATGTATCTCGTATTCTTAATGACTTGCTTTATTTTTAAAGCAAGGTAATATTAGCTCTGTAAATTGCCATTTAGTTACAAAAATTACATTAAACCATACAGTCCATAATTTTATAACAACCCATAATAATTCTTCAATTTCTTGTAACTAGAATTTGTCAGAGGCAACTGATAATAAAGTTACATCTGATGAAATCTCTCAAAAGATGAGTAAAATATTGAGAAATAAATGAATATATTTTGATCTGACTTCACAGTCTTAGCAGGTGTCTCAAAGGCATATATACAAATGTACAGAAATTACTACATAAGGTATATCTCACCAGCTTTAATGGGCGAGGTACGTTCTATCCTGCAGAATTAAATCATTCAATCCCTTTTTTCTTAGTCAAAATTGGGAAAAATAGTAATTTACAGTCACTATGCCTATGCTTCCCATAGGAAATATTCAATGGAGAACATTTTATTAAGTAATTTGATCACAGCTTAAGACATATAGTTTGTTAGAATTGCTAACCTGTCACAAAGTTGCCATCATCATGTTGTAGAAGGAAAAGTGTGAAAGCAAGAATTAGGGGAAAAAAGATTCTTAACATAGTCTCCAAATTATTGTAAAGGTATTTGTATCTTAGATGAATTATATTTGCAAGGTTGTGTCAATGGATAATCCAAAATAAATTATAAAACATTAATATGTACAATTAAGTAGATTTCAGTTTGATAGAGTTAATCTAGAATGTAGTTTAACAAAAAGATATGTGTTGCCTTTATGCACTAAAAGACAAGGTGATTTTAAATGATTTAGATGCTGAACAAAAGAACTGAGAGCTTCCAAAGTCATAGATGATAGAAAAAGCAAATTGTTACATCATGTACTAAATTGAAAGCAAATCTGAACCTCTCAGCATGCATTTGTACTCCACCATCTGATTTGTATATGTCATTGGGGAAAGAAAAACTGACAATATATAATAAGATTGACTACTTACAGCAGATGACACCTGTAAATGGAATTTTTACTAGTCGAAATTCTGATGTGAAGTGAGACAATTATCATTATCACTCTTAACGTGTTTTTTTTGAGTTATTTTTTAACATTCTTTAATTCTAAAAGCCTGTTAATTAAACAGAGCAATGACAGATCTTCATCTTCTTTAAATACTTTGTTTGTGTGAGGCTGTCACATAGAAAGAAAGATTATATTTTAAACAATATGTTCAAGTGTAAAAAATCTTCAACAAATTCTTAATGTTTAAAAAAAAATAGGAGAAAGTTCCAGGACTTTTGTAATTAACATCTTGGGATTCTTCATAGGGATCTAGATATTTCGGAAAGTTTGAAAGGATTTTAAATAATTTTTTAAAAGGATATCAAAGACTAAATTATACCCTGGAATATTCAAAGTAGTTTTTCTCTTCTTCAAGGATATTGATTGGTGTGAGGAGATTAATATGGCACAGCGCTAAAAACAAAAGAAAATTATCATGGCATTAACAATTGTTCATTTTCTCTGTGTTCCTGTCACCACCCAGAAAGTACTGAAATGAGGTACTTATAGCAATGATTTTAAAAATTCTAATTCAAAATGGTAATGGCAAATTCAGAAGTAATTTTAAAATGACTAAGTCTATTGAGCTGGTAGAGTAAAAGTAGTATATTTCTCAAATTATTTTTTAAAAGAATTTTATTTATTTTTAGAGAGAGGGGAAGGGAGGGAGAAAGGGAGAGAAACATTGATGTGAGAAAGAGACATTGATCTGCTGCCTCTCATCTGTGCCCTGACCGGGAACTGAACGTCCAACCCGGGCATGTGCCCTGACCAGTAACCACCCTTTGACCTTCCATTTTGAGGAATGATGCCCAGCCAACTGTGCCACACTAGTCAGGGCTCAAATTATTCTTTTAAAATCACAGATAAAATGGAAGGCAAATTATTCTGTTTTAAAAAAAAATTTTTCTCAACGTTTCAAATAGTAGTCCAATAAACCTTAACCCAAGGTCATTACTACACAAGTTTATAATATCTAACTTTGAAAAAAACACAATATCAATTAAATTGAGAAAGTTGTATTATATTTCTATTGCTCCTACAAGAAATTACCACAAACTTGGTGGCCTAGAAGAACACAAAATTGTTTTACAGGTCTGGAGGTCAGAAACTGAAAATCAGTTTCATTGAGCTAAAAAATTACGGTTGGAGCCTTAATTTTGGGCTGGTTTCTTTCGGAGTCTGTGACAGGAAAATTTGTTTCCTTGCTTTTTTCATCTTCTAGTGGCTGCCTGTACTCCTTGTTTGGCCCTTTCTTCCGTCTTCAGTCACCACATCCCCTCTTTTCTCTCTGATCTCCTTCCTCCCTCTGATACTGACCATTGTGATTGCACTGGGGCCACTTGGATAATCTGAGATAAACTCATCTCAAATCCTTAATCATTCCGCAGAGTCCCCTTTTTCCACGTAGAGTCACAATCACCGGTTCTGGGGATGAAGACATAGACATCTTGTGTGGGTGATGTCATTTAGCCTACCCCAGAAGTTACGTAATTTTCCTTTTGTTATATATTTTCCTTGTATCTGATACCACAAGAAAATATACAAGTTGAGTTCAACTTTCTCCATTAAATCCTTGCCTTCATAAATTCTTTAGGTGGTGTCATCACACAAACTGATTCAAAATGATTCTAGTTTGGGAGCAATTCTATTTGTTCCCATTCTACTGCTTCATATTTTACTTGGGATTTTTTTCAGCAAAGGAAAAATGCCAGAGGATAAATTCTTGGAAGATTTTTGCCAGATGATAAACAAGGTTGAAAAGCATATGGATAGTTTTGTTGTTGCCTCTAGAGCTTTTACCTGGTCTAGCTGCATAAGCACAGAAGTTAACCTAGATGTGTGCCTGTGATACCTCCTGCTGTCATACTGAAAACCTACTTAGCAGGTACTGAAATATCACTAGAGACAAAGGACAAAAATTGTTAATGTTCTAATGCTAACATCAGCAATAGATATATAAAAAAACTTGATAAACACTTCTTAAGTTATTGTTTCAATTATTTTTGTCCTAAATCATGCAGCATTTACGTATGGCATACCCTGTGTTTATAGATGTCATTGATTCCAGTCTTACCACTAATATATGAAACCAAGCAATATGATTAGGAACTCTATATATAAATATTTGGTTCCATGTATGATATATATTCCAGAACATACATTCCAGAACAGAAAATTCCACAAATAATTACTGAATGCCCACTAAGTAAGGGTTAGGCAATAAGGGGATCACTAAGGAAGTGGTAATGAATAAGTTGAACTTACATTCTAGCAGAGAAAAAATGCAAATAGGTAAGAAGTAGAATGAGCATTTCAAATGTGTAAGTGCAGTGGTTGAATATAACAAGAGGATTTAAATGGTTCTAGGGTCTTAGAAACTGTTGAAAGCAAGAACTTGGAAGGGTAAGGACATAAAGGGAGGAGGAAGGAAGAATGTTGTAGAGCGTGGAAAAGCATGCCCTAGGATTAATAAGCCGGAGGCTCTCTGGGGACTGAGAAATATGAATTACAGAATAGAGATCCAGGAAGAGTGAAAACCAATGAGACAGGATTGGGTAGGAAAGGGTCAGAAAGTTCTCTTGTTTTTGATGGTATCTTAAGGATAAAAAGAAGTCATTCAGTAAGTGTTTGAAGGTCTAAAGCAGGAAAGCAATATTAGCAGGTTGACATTTTGAGGCAGTCGCAGACTAAAGAGATCATAAAAAACGGTGTATCATAGATCATTCAACATCTCTCCTCAAATCTTACATCATTTCACATTGTCTGGATGTTATATTTCTGAGCTTGTCATACTTTAAATTCCCTTTGAATTACGGGAACATTTATTTTCCAGTCCCTCAATTAAAACATATTCCCCTCCATTTTAAACAGATGTCATGTGTTTAAAGTTAGAACTAGTCATTCTTGCTTCCTATTTGCATTTTTTCCCGTCCCTTATTCAGGAGGAGTACTATTTTGAATAATCTGGCCCACAGTACT